ATGAATTTCACTCGGAGAAGAAGGTATACCGGTATACATCTGTGTATGTGAAACGTGGTTCACCGAAGGAAGTGCACTTGGTCACAACTAACATGTGCTGGCATACCGCCTACCTGTTCAGCCCAAGACCACGGGGCGCACTCACCGTCCGCCGAGAAAAGGCGGCGTTTGCTTGCTTTGGTAGGTAGGTTCACCTAGAGGTGGTAGGTTGTTCTCCCTTAGCAGCTACCCACAGTGGTAGCGGAGCGCTAGTTGCTCCAGTAGGACCTAGTTAGGTCGACGTTTGAGTAGAGGGTTGAGTTAGGAGTAGGAGCCATGCCTGCTGGAAGTGACGGTGCACCGTCAGTCAGATGGGGGAGGCGCAATGGCGACATCCTCGAGCACGACCAACACCCCCTCTTTCAGAGAAAGAGATATGCCGCCAGCATTCGATGGTGGGGACCCCGCCGTCTACAAGCGCTGGTTGAAAGACTGGAAGCTATGGCAGTTCGAAACAGATATTCCCAAAGAGAAGCACGGTGTGAAATTGATCCGGCAATTGAGTGGGCCGGCACGGGCGGCGGCTGACGAAGTGCCACTTGAGAAGTTGATGAGTGGCGAGGGCGCCGCGGCAGTTGTTCACAAGCTGGCAGAACATTTTGCACCGTATTTAGAAACTGCACTTCCACGTGCTTTCGAGAAGGCCATCTATGGGGAGAGTCGGAAGAGCAAGGAATCCCTGCAGGAGTATGTGATTCGAATGGATTCTGCGTTCAAGGAGCTCTTGGATGAGGGAGTCTCACTCCCTGAAGAAGTGAAAGGCTACGTCATTTTTCGACATGCCAACCTGACGCAAGTTCAAGAAGATCAGATGACCACGTGGACCAGTGGCAAGCACGAGCGTCAGGAGATCATCAAAGCCCTTCGCAAGCTCGAAAAGGTCCAGAAGGATCGAGGAGGCAGCAAGGCCTATGTCTTCGATGAGGGCGATTCTCCCATGTCGCCTATGGAGGTGTTTGAAGTTGAGGACGAGGATGAAGACGGCAACTTCGTCTGGATTGGTGAAGGCGACCTGAACGAGATCTTCGAGGAGAGCGATCTCCATGAAGCTCTGGCCACCTATCAGGAGGTCAGGAAAGCCCTCCAAGCCCAGGAGACCAGTCGACACCAATGGTCGAGTTCTTCGAAAGGGAAAGGAAAGAAGGGCAAGCATGCTGCAGGTCCCTTTCGCATGCGTGATGAAGCTGGAGCTCGAAGAGTCCACATCGACATGCTCAAGCTGAGGACAAAGTGTGCCAGATGTGGCCAAGTGGGACACTGGGCAAAGGAGTGCACTGGGCAGCCGGATGGCTATCGTGGCAAGTCTTCCGACGGCAGCAAGAGTTCTGCTAGTAACCCGACTTCAACAAGAACCGGTTTTTTCAGCGTGTCACCAGAAGGTCAGAACGACTCATTTTGGCATCAAAAGGAATCCACCGATTTGGAACCGGGGCACCTCACGGTGGGTCACTTTTTTCGTAGGACCGGTTCACCTGTTTCCTCAAAAGGGGTTGAAGAGTTTTGCGGCTTGTGCACAGATCCTCAACAAGGGGTTGTGGACACGGCTGCTCAGTCAGGGCTCATCGGTGAAGCAGCTTTAAAGCGACTTGAAGAATCATTGCACCACCACGGGTTGAAGGTTTTTTGGACTGGCAAACACGCACAAGCCCGGGGTGTGGGTGGAGCAGCGCATGTGCGGAGATCCCTCTAGGGTTGAATGGTTTGTGCGGTGTCTTGGAGTGCACTGTTGTCAAAGAGGAGGTGCCGTTGCTTCTGCCCATCCGGTTGTTGAGAGAGTTGGGAGCTCGAATTGATCTCGGCAGCAACACCCTCACCCTCACTAAGCACGACATCTGTTTGTCCATGAATGTGTTGAACAGTGGTCACGCAGCAGTGGATGTTTGTCACTGTGGCCCCGAGGGATGGAAGATTCCATCAGAAGCCACTCGTGCAGGTCGTTCAGAGAAAGATTTTGTTTGGGCAGCTATGATCGGCGCAAGTGTTCCACGCCAGGATCTGCCCGCATCTCACTCAGGCCATGGACTGCAAGCGATCTCGAAGCGAGTCTCGGCCTATGGAGGTGGAGATGGGAGACGATGCGGTCAAGAGTCCAAAAGCCCTTCTGCTCCAAGGGGGTGCTCAACCTCATCCGACGTCGTCGGAAGCCAAGCCCGGCGATCTTCTGCCGGCGGAACTCTCGGCTGGGTCATGGCCATGTCCACCATTGATGGGGCCTACGCCTGGAATGCCAGTGGTGCCTCCGATGCCAGGACCAGCTGCGGCACCAGGTCCATCAGTCTTTGGACCACCAGCCACAGCAGGACCGATCCAGTTGCCCATCGGACCGGCTTCAAGCTCCGAGATCTCACACAGGCCTTGCGCGAAGCAAGAGGGGTATGCTCAACAAGTGAGGATGCATGGGGAGTTCAAAGGGCTTCGCAAGTGTCAGAAGCCTCCCAATCGAGCGGCCGACCAATGCCCACATCCGGTGTACGCTCTGGCGGGAGCAGGCAATGCAGTCCAGAAGGAGGTGTGGTGCCAAGAATGCCACGCCCCACGGCCCCAGTGACAGCCCCAGGAAGTCCAGCACCGTTGACTCCCATGTCACTGGCCAGCAACTGCACCAATCCCCCAAGTCTTGCAGGAGCTTCAGGGTCGACGATCGACTGGAGTGTGATCTCACCACAGGCCATGCCATCACAGGCTCAGACTCCACCGAGGACACCACCCCGGATGGCGGGGAATGCACCCACCTGTCACTGCGGAGTGACAGCCCAGCTCCATCAGGTCAAGAAGGAGGGACCAAGCAAAGGGCGCCACTTCCTCGGGTGCGCGCGACATGTGTGCGAGTTCTTCCGAGCAGTCGGAACTCCAGATGATCCGACAATCCGAGAGCCCAATGTTGTCCTCTCCAGGGATGTCCAGTGTGGCGTCCCCAGCCAAGTTCGGGATCAGGTGGAGATGGAGTTGATGAAGGAGAGGTTGAAGCGGCAAGAGGAGGAGCTGCAGAAGCAGGAGGAAGTCCTGCGACAGAAGGATGCAGCGTTGAACCAAGCACAGGCGAGGACCGAAGGCATGGTCAGCCAGATGATCCAAGAAAGCCGATCAATGATCGAGCACCAGTCCCAGACCTATGCCACCGAGGTTCAAACCCTTCGAGACCAAATGCTGTGGATGAGCTGTGTGGCAGGAGAAGAAAGGATGCAACGGGCCACTCAGGATCCGGAGTTCTATCAGGAGACAGTCCAGCAGGCCATGGAAGTGAAGCGCGCCATGGAGGAGGCCAAGAAGGGAGCTCAGTGAGTGAAGCTGCAGGGGAGAAGATGGAGGAGGAACCAACTGGACTCGCCCCGTGGTATGTTCCAGTTGGATCACCAGCTGAACTCAATGCGATGATCACCATGCAGCTGGAGGATTGGGAGAAGGATTCAAGGCAGCAACGAGTGTCACCAGGTTTTTGGAGGAGGACCGAATTCGGCACGCATTATCAAGAGGGCATTTTGCCGTCTCACCTCAAGGACGGAGAAGAAGTTTTTGCCACCGTGCTCGAGGACCTTCCGCAAGAGGAGGACTTCGAAGAGGAAGTGCGGACGTTGCCAAAGGGCACCCGGAAGAGAGTGCTCAGGAAGATGAGAGAATGTGAGCCACGACCAAAGATTGCGGAGGTCTACTCAGAGCCACGCATCACTCTGGAAGCGAAAGCCCCTCTAGCTTTCGACCTCAAGAACGGCTACGACTTCAATCTGCCGTCCGATCGCAATCGATGCTTCCGCAGGCTCGTTCAAGAGGACCCAGATGTTTTGGTGGTTTGTCCTCCATGTGGACCCTTCTCACCACTACAGGCTTGGAATTACAAGCGGATGCCACTGAAGAAGGCCAACCCTGATGCTCAATGAAGGGCTGCAGCATCTCACATTTGCGATGCAACTGTATGAGTGGCAGGTGAGAAGAGGAAAAATCGCCTTGTTCGAACATCCCTGGGGCAGCCGGGCCTGGCAGGAGGAGGTGGTGAAGAGGTGCAAAGAACTTCCGGGAGTGGAGGTGGTCAGAGGAGATCAATGTCGATTTGGGCTTCAAGTTCGTGAAGATGAAGCGCTCAATCGAAAGGCAACTGGCTTTATGACGAACGGGCCTCATTTGAAGAAAGAGCTCGGACGAAGATGGGGAAGATCATACTCATCAGCCTCTGGTTGGAGGTCGAGCAAAAGCAGCTGAAGTGTATCCTCCCAAGCTATGCCAAGCAATCATCAAAGGAGCGCGCCAAGATCTACGGCAAGAAAGCTGGATGATCAGCTCCGTGGAAGAAGCGTTCCCAGAGGAGCAGGCGGAGGAAGACGAAGAAGAGGAAGAAGAGACGCCCAAGGAGGCACAGGCTCTAAGGCTTCCAGATGATGAAGAGGAAGGAGCCCAAGGACGAGAAATGCCAGTGGTCAATGGCCTGACCCGAGGTGAAAAGAACCTAGTGCACAAGTTGCACGTCAACATGGGACATCCGTCCCCAGATGCCTTCGCCAGGGTCATGCGACTGGGTCGAGCACGTCCTGAGGTATTGGACTACATCAAGAAGGAATTCACCTGTGACCTATGCAAAGAACACCAGAGGCCAAAGGCAGCTCGGCCAGCTGCCATGCCCAAGTTCTATGAGCCCAACAAGGTGGTGGGAGTTGATGTGGTGTTCATGCCGAGCTATACCGGCAAAGAGGTGAAGCCCGTGCTCAACGTCATTGACTGGGGCTCTTGTTTTCAAGTCCTAGAGCCTCTGGAGGAGATGGGCTCCAAGCATGTGTGGAGGGCATTTCAAAGATGCTGGACCAGACACTTTGGCCAGCCTGAAATCATTGTGATTGACCAAGGCAGGGAATTCCTGGGAGAGTTCAACGTCAAGAGCAGCGAATGCGGCTCCATCATTAGAGTGGCGGGGGCGCGAGCTCCATGGCAAAACGGGAGAACGGAGCGGCATGGAGGAATTGCCAAGGCCCTTCTTGACAAGCTGATCGACCAAGTGGTGCCGCGAGATGAAGAAGAATGGAAAGAGTGCATCTACGCAGCTCAAAGTGCCAAGAATCGCACGCTCAATAGATCAGGATTCTCTCCAGCTCAAAGACATTTGGGCCAGAACGTCCGCATCCCAGGAACCTTGGCCAGTGATGATCGGTGTGAAGCCGAACTCCTGAGTGGAGGCGCATCCATGGAAGTGAAGAGAACCATGGAGATTCAGCACACCGCCATGGAGTCTTTCATCAGGCAAAGTGCCAAAGAAGAAGTTCAAAGAGCCATACGAGGAAGAAATCGGACCACCAAGACTTTCCTGCCAGGAGAAATTGTCTACGTGTACCGAAAGCCACTGCCACGAAGAGGACAGTCCGCTCCGGGCACGAGACCATGCTGGGTAGGACCAGGCACGATGATTCTCGTTGAAGGACGAAATGCATGGATCTCCATGAGAGGGGAGCTGTGGAAGGCAGCTCTGGAGCAGGTGCGAGGCGCCACACCAGAAGAGGAGGAAGCAATGGGGCTCCTAAAGGAGGAATTTGAGGAGTTGAAGGAAGCCATGACACGTCGTCATAGCAAGAGAGCGTACAAAGACATCAGCAACTGGGAACATCCCCCAGTCGAAGATGAAGAAGAACCTCCCAGCCCAAGGGGGCGATGACGACCCCAATTCCGGCACAGGTGCCGAGGTCGACTCCGAGCCATCACCCATGTCCAGCAGTCAAAGTGAGCCCAGTGAAGAACCACCAGAAGAAGCAGGGCTTCCTCACGCCCAACTAGATGAAGCGGCTCAATCTGTAGTGAGGAATGAGTTGTTAGACGGCACTACGAAGAGGAGGAGTGCAGAAGATGCCTTCCAACCTATTCGACAAAGGTTGGAGAACATCCGGTGGCGGCCATACCAAGGAGAACTCTATGTTCTTGACGGCGAAGAAAAGCCAGAAGAAGAAGAAGAAGACTATGAGCAAAGAGGCAAGGACTACTGGATCGTGGATGTGTACCGCAGGAGGCTCATCCGAAGACATGTGGTAGAAAGAAGTAAGCCATTCAAGCCACATCCAGACGATTGTCCAATCTCTCTCAAACACCTGACCTCATTCAGAAGGGCATGCAAGACGACCCTAGATGGTGCCAAGACCATCACCAAGGGAAATTGGCGTCAAGGCCACCAAGAGGAGGCAGGACCGGCCAGGAGCTGGTGTGGATACACCGAATTCCACTTGAAGGGCAGAGCTGATGTCTCTCAGGAGGTGAAGGCCTGGATGGTCAAGAAAGGCGGCGATGAAGTCGATGAGGACTCCATAAGCCCAGAGGAATGGCCCGAATGGAGAAGGTCCGATGGCGAAGAGTGGACCAAGGTCTTAGGAACAGGAGCCGTGAAGGCACTCACCCTCGGAGTCAGTGAATGTTGAAGAACAGCTCCGAGAGGCAGGGCGAAGTGCCCGAATCCTGCCATCAAGAATAGTCAGAAGATGGAAACCTGCCGACCAACCCGGACAACCGCCAAGCAGAAAGTCCAGATGGTGCATTCGAGGAGACAAAGATCCAGACCTGCTGACCCTGAGCCGATATGCCCCAACAGTCACCACAGCAGTCATCTCCATTGCCCTGCAGGTGTCAGCCAACAAAGGCTGGAAGACCTTCATAGGGGACTTGAAGAATGCTTTCATGCAGTCGGACAAGCTTGTCCGTGAAGAAGGGAGGCTGTTTTGCAAGCAACCCAAGGGAGGATTGCCAGGGATGAGCCCCGGGCAATTGATTGAAATCCTTGCCGGAGCTTATGGCTTGTGGGAGACGCTCCAGCTCACTGGAGGAAGTCTCTTCGAAAGGTCATGCTGGAGATCGGGTATGTCCAGAGTGCTATGGATCCATGCACTTTCAAGTACCATGGAGCGTCTGGAGAGTTGAGTGGCATTGTCGTTGTGGAGGTGGATGATCCTTTATGTTTTGGAGATCACGAACATGAGAGTAAGCTGAATGAACTTCGAAGAAGGTTCAATTTTGGCAAGTTCGTTGATCTGGCCACACAACCCGAAGGAGCATCTTTCAATGGTCGAAGGATTCGAGCACGTCCAGGAGGAGGATACATCATCGACATGGTCAAATATGTCAGTGAAAGGTTGGAAGAAGTTCCACTGGCAAAAGGCCGAAAGAAAGATGAAGAAGCCACCCCAGAAGAAAGAGACGCCACCCGAGCTGCAGTTGGAGCTTTGACCTGGGCAGCCAAGGAAGGTCGACCTGATGCCGCGGCCACTGCATCGCTGATCGCTGGCTGCCTGAATCAGCTGAAGATTCAGGACATTTTGGACCTGAACCGCACCATCCGAGAGGTGAAGCAGCAAGCCGGAATGAGCATCCAAATTCAGCCGATACCAGAAGATCGGCTGTGCTTTGGTGTGGTCACAGATGCATCCTGGGCCAACTCGACAGAAGAGAAATCACAGGGCGGCTTTGCAGTCCTGTGTTATGATATGTTATGATGAAGCCTTAGTGAAGACCGGCCGAGCTCCAGGAAATCTTCTTCACTGGCGTTCAGGCCGCATGCACCGGGTTGTCAATTCCACCCTTGCCGCCGAAGCACAGAGCATGTCCAGAGGATTGCAAGAGCTGGCTTGGACCGTCACGGTCTACAATGAATTGGTGCAGAAAGATTTTGACCTGCAGCGCTGGAACGAAGAAGCGAAGAAGAGACGCCTGGTGGCAATGAGTCATGACGGCGCCAATGAAAAGCTGCAGAAGAGTCTGTGCCTAGTAGATGCCAAGTCGCTTTTCGATCATTTGATCAAAACCACGATAGGAAGTACAGAAGATCGCCGAACGGCGATAGAGATGCAGTGCATTAGGCAGCTGATGCAGGAAGTGGGTGCCACTGTGAAGTGGATCCGACACGAGCAGATGCTCGTGGACTGCCTCACGAAAAGGGTGGGGAACAAGGCACCGCTGTATCAGTTTTTGAAGAGTGGATGTTTGGATTTAATTGTAGTTGTGACCAACAGAAATTGGTGGGAATCTGTGAAACGTGGTTCACCGAAGGAAGTGCACTTGGTCACAACTAACATGTGCTGGCATACCGCCTACCTGTTCAGCCCAAGACCACGGGGCGCACTCACCGTCCGCCGAGAAAAGGCGGCGTTTGCTTGCTTTGGTAGGTAGGTTCACCTAGAGGTGGTAGGTTGTTCTCCCTTTGCAGCTACCCACAGTGTATATAATTAATATATGCTTGATGATGTTCAATGACAAAGCCAA